TGAACAGATTACGTGCTCAACTTAGGAAGAAAAAGGAGTCCTTGGCTGACCAGTTTGATTTCAAGATGTACATTGCTTTCGTATTCAAAGATAAGGTGAGATTATGTAGGAGATCTGAAATAATCCACTACCATTGTTGAAGTATGGTGTAATATTTAGGCATTGTGTTTTCTGAAAGTTTGTTGTCACATTTTGCATTCAAATGTGCTGTTTCTGAACAAGTAAAAGGTAGCAAACTTTCATTTGGCTGTGGAGTTTCTGCTTTTTAGGAGTGATTTTTTCCCCTTTCCTTTTTAGAAGAAAAAGTCTGCACTTTTTGAGGTGGCTGAAGTGGTACCGGTTATGACCAATAACTATGAAGAGCATATTATTAAAGGTGTGCGAGATTGCAGCTACTCGCTGGAGAGTTCCTTAGAACTACTGCAGAAGGATGTGGTACAGTTACACGCCCCTCGCTACCAGTCAATGCGCAGGGTGAGTAGTGTATATGGAGAAGCAGTAGTCCTACTGACAGGCCGCTGGTTCTGCCGCGTCCAGCAGAAGTGTGCCCTGAAATTTGCCCGTTTTTCTCCTTAGGATGTCATTGGATGCACCCAGGAGATGGATTTCATCCTTTGGCCTCGCAATGACATAGAGAAGATTGTCTGTCTTCTGTTCTCCAGATGGAAGGGATCTGGTGATGAGTCCTTTAGGCCTGTTCAGGTGATGCTTTTTAATGAAAACTGAAGAGTAGCTGAAGGGTTTATGTTATGATGCTCCCTGCAATAATGTGCAATTATTTTCTGAAGTGGATGGCAAAAGTTGTCAGTTGGCTTGTTTATTAAATTGTCATTTGATCGATCCTAAAGTGCTTTTTGCTTCCAACCCTACATTTATATGCAGGTCAAGTTTGAATTTCATCACGGCGACTATGAGAAGCAGTTCTTGCATGCTGTGAGTCGAAAGGACAAGGCTGGAATGGTGATGAACAACCCTAGTCAGTCTATGTTCCTCTTTATGGACAGACAGCACTTACAGGCAAGTTTGTCATGATGGATGTCTAGATTTGGCTGTCATTAGTTTCCATTATGGGAAACTGTGTATCATATAAACCTGAAATCAAAGCAACTTACTGTCCATAAAGTCTATAAATGATACAAAAACTTTTCTTCTCAGGGTATAGTTACGACATACATTTTCAGCAAAATGACTGAGTTCAAGATTTAAAAACAATTATTAAGCAATTTGCATTGCTCAAACAAGTTGTATTAACGGTATGTGAAGAAGAGGAATGTATGATTAATCTTGTATAAGCCGCACAGTGGTTACACTAATAATTCTTATATGCAATCTTCCTTTAAAACAGACTCCAAAAACTAAGGCTACAGTCTTCAAGTTGTGCAGCATCTGCCTCTACCTGCCACAGGACCAGCTGACGTGCTGGGGCGGGGGTGGGATAGACGACCATCTCCGTCCATATATGCCAGACTAGGGTGTCACCGTTGCCACAGAGGGAGAGAAACCCAAGACCACTATTGCAGGCTCACCTCCTTTCTGACACAGATAGTTTTCATCACTCGATACAAGTGAACTTGCGCTTGGAACACTCCTTTTGTTTGCCCATCTTCATCCAGGACCTTGGTTCACTCATCCTTTTTCTACGTTCCTGTGTATTTTTGTTTTGTTTTTTTTGTTTTTTTTTTTTGCACTGATTTGTGACCATATCATGAATGATTGTAAATTTCTGATCTCACAGGTAAAATGTATAGCGTTTTAAAGAATTATTTCTATAATCTGTGTTGAGGGAGGCAGGTAAGCCTGGGAGGAATTTGTGCACAAATTTTGAAGATCAGAAAAGCCAGGAAACAAGTTTTATTTTTTTGTGTAGGCTTCGTTTCCCCCTGCTGATGCTTTACTTGGTCTATAGGTGTCTCCCTAGCTTGGCTGTAGATTTTATCATCACTTGTCATATTACTGCCAGGCGATTCCGACATGCTCTAGGGTGCACAGCCTGGAAGAAAGGTGTGATGAAATTGTGCTGTGAAATTGCAAGGAAAAAAACCAAATTAAGCTTTTTTTTCCCCTCTCCTTAAGGACATATTGATACCATGCAGGAAATTCATGGGCCGCAGTCTGGATAACAGAAGTGCATTTTGGGAATCTCTTTGGGGAACCTGTAAATGAAACTTTTCTGTACCTTGACAATAAAGCTCTGGAGATGCATTAAGAATGGGTCATGTTTTTATGCTTTTTCTAAAATGTCTCCAGTGCTTTCTGGAGGAGAACTAAGTTGCCCAAGAAAAGGTACAGGTTAGGACATATTTTGGCTTGTTAAACTGATGCACTAAAACCATTGTTCTGAAAGAAATTATTCTGACCTTGGCATTAGCTCTATCTCATAACCACACCTTTGTCTTATCACCAAAGCATTGCACCTAGAACTGCATGTTATACTGTACAGGTGAATTTACAAAAATCAAAAAAGGTTGCAAAGAGTATGGGATTATGGATGATTTTTGAACCTTAACAGAAAAATGGCAGTAAGGTTAGCACTTACAGTACAGTAAAATCCCATTAGATTTCAAGGGACCTGACAAAACAGTCCGTTACATCCAGAGTTGCTGTATGCCCAGAACACAACTACAGGACACCATTTACTCATGCCACACCCCAGCAGACACACTTGAGGTATAGATTATTATATTATACATGTAGTAATCCAACATTACCTGACCAGATGCGTGACTATTAATAATCCCACCTATGTATCTGCTGGATTTCACCGGCATGTCCGTTATAGCGAACAAAACTAGCTAAACGTGGCCCTGGGGACCAAATTGTTTTGTCCGTTATAGACAATATTCCGTTATAAGCGAGTCCACTATAATGGGATTTTACTGTAGGAGCTTGCTGGAGTGATATGTACACGTTTGATTAAGCTGATTCAGTTCACATTCTGATGGGAAGAATTATTAAAATTCCATTTCACTGTTGTCAAAATATTAGTTCTTAGTGGAATTCATGCTTTTTTGAGCTGAAGCGTAACAACATTAGGAAGAGAAACATAGCAAGAATTCAGTAAGCCTAATTGAATAAGCAATTAATATGAGCATTTAAATAGAAAAACAAAATAATTTTCACTCCAGAGCTAAGGAACAGACAAGAGAAGAAAGGAACCGGCATCTACTTTCAGGTATTTTCAGATATAAAGTCCTGTAAAATCGTGTGTCTGCAGGTTTGTCCTGGTACGGGGAGCACGTGGATGATGGGGCGGTGTGGGGGCGGCAGTGAGGGGACTTGG